ATAGGCTCCCCTCTCCAGCCATGTCCAAGCCTTCAATGGATAGAAGCCACAGTCTTCCCCTGGGACAAACTGGGATGGTTGCCCTGCATGAGTGGACCCAGATTTTTGTTTTGTGCCAATATCCTCCTTTGTGTGCAAGTAATCTAAAAGTCTGGGGCCAGGCGTGGTGGCTCACGCCTAGAATCCTAGCAATCTGGGAGGAGAGGCGAGTGGATTGCTTGAGCTCAAGAGTTTGAGACCAGTCTGAGCAGGAGCAAGAACCCATCTCTACTAAAAATAGAAAAATAAGCTGGGCATGGTGGCACCTGCCAGTAGTCCCTATTGCCAGAGGGATCGTAAGTGTCCAAACTGAGACAGGCCCCCTATAGCTAGAGTGAGGCCTGTCTCACTCTAAACCTTGTACTCTGCTTATACCAAGCTGTTTCTCCTTGGAGGGGGGTCCCTCACTCACCTCCGGTCAGTTTGCTCAATGCACAGATTCTTATTGTTCTCTGCAAGTGGAGATCAGAAATCTCCATTATTTTATTTCATTTTTTAAAAATTTCACAAGGCCACAGAAGGGCTGCTGGAGCAACCTCACACTGTATTGTTCATCAAATAATGGGTAATGATTGATGGCCTTTGTGATTCTCAGTTGTCACTATGCCTGGAGCTGGAGTTGATGTTGGGGGAGGGGAGGATTGCTAACGAAGGCCACCCCGGGTATCCAGGCTGAGTTAGAATAAAATAAAACAAATGAGTAGAAGGCATAAAACACCACGGGGCTTATTTAGACAGAATAAATATTCAGTGGATTTATCTGGACTCTGCCTCTTAAATCATTAAAGACATTTCAATCATTACAGCCCGCGAGAACCTCATTTGAACTTCACAAGAGAGCAGGATTTTTTCAATTGTTACCAACTTTATCCAGGATTTAAGAAACCGAACAGCACCAGTGATACAGTAGAGCGTGACTTATCACCAAGCACACTTGGGAAAGGAGAGTTTTCACAGGACCAGATTTCATTCACAATATTCAAATAGATTAAAAAACAACCAACACTCAGTTTTGCATGTTGAAAGGATCTGACTTTCCAACCACTAGCCTAGTGTTTTAAGAGAAGAAACAAGAGAATGTCTACTGTTACGGAAGTGCCTAATGTCTAATCATAAATATCAGGTTCCTATTTACAATACTAATTAAAAAGTCGCAGTTACCAAGAACAGTTCACTACAAATAGCTTTTCACATCATGTGACATTTCTGTTAATGTGGTCGGTTAAAATATATTTTTATGAGAGATGTCTGGCTAGTTTTGCGTTAGACGAGTAAAGATGTCAGACTTCTAGATTTTAAGATCTCCTGGCATGAAGACTCTTCAGCCTTAAAAAGGAAGAGAATTCTGACACAGCTCCACATGGATGAACTTTGAGGACATTATGCTCAGTGAAATAAGCCAGTCACAAGAGGACAAATACTGAATGATTTCACTTATATCAGGTACTTAGGGTAGTCGAATTCATAAGAGAGTAGAACGGTGGTTGCCAGGGGCTGGGGAGAGAGGGAAATGGGGAGTTATTGTTTAATGGAGACAGAGTTTCAGTTTAGAAAGGTGAAAATTTTCTGGAGATGGATGGTGGTGGTGGTTGCACAACACCGCAAATGTACTTAATGCCACTGAACTGTACACGTGATAATTGTTGAGATGGTCAATTTTATGTTATGTGCATTTTGCCACACGCCCAAAAAACTTCCTGGGAGGTTATATTTTTCCTCCATGGTATTTGAGAAAATACAAGTAAAGATTTGTTAATTAAAACAAAAATCTTCCTGGCAAATGTAGTAAAACCTACGTGGGAGTGGGTGAGGACAAAGTCTGCATAAGTATTTGCAGTAAGGATCTATTTCATGAATTCCTGAGAGTCCCTTTTGCTAGTCATAGGGCGTTTAGTTCTACTGCCAAATCAGCCCAAAAATCAGGAACTTGGATCAGAAGAACACATGGTCAAAAGGAATAAAATGATGGCTTGCCTTATATTTTTCCTACAGTATTTGTTTATTTTATTTCACACACCACAAAATTCACCCTTTTAAAGTTTACAATTCAGTGGTTTTTATTATATTTACAAAGCTGTTCAACCACTACCACTATCTAGTTCCAGAACATCTTTATTACTCCCAAAAGAAGCCCTGTACCCATTAGCAGTCACCGCATTCTCCCCTTCCTCCAGCCCCTGACCACCACTAATGTAGTTTTGTCTATAGATTTCCCTATTCTGGGCATTTCATTTAAATGGGATCATTTATTATAAACGGGAAAATGGGACCTTTTGTCTCTGGCTCCTTTTACTTAGCATAATGTTTTCAAGATTCATCCATTTTGTGGCATGTAACCCTACTTCATTTTTATGGCTGAATAATATTCCATCTTATCAATGTACCATCTTTTTATCCATTCATCAGTTGATGGACATTCGGATTATTTCCACTTTTTGCCTATTATGAATAATGCATCTATGAACATTCATGTACAAGTGTGTGTGTGGACAGATGTTTTTTGATTATCTTTAATATATACCCAAGAGTGAAACTGCTGGATCATAAAGTGGAAACTCTATGTTTAACACTTTGAGGAACTTCCAAACTGTTTTCCAAAGTGGCTGCACCATTTTATATTCCTATCAGCAGTGTATGAAGCTTCCAAGTTCTCTGTACTCTCACCAACACCTGTTACTGTCTTTTTGATTATAGCCATGCTAGTGGGTATGAAGTGAAATCTCATGGTGGTTTTGATTTGTATTTCCTTATAACTAGTGACGTTGAGCATATTTTCATATGCTTATTGACCATTTGTATATGTTCTTTGGAGAAATGTCTATTCAAATCCTTTGCCAATCTTGTAATTGCGTTATTTACATTTTTATTGTTGGGTTGTGAGGATTCTTTACATATTATGGATATCAGACCATTATCCAATATGTTAATTTGCAAATATTTTCTCCCATTCTATGGGCTGTCTTTTCACTCACTTGATGATGTTCTTTGAAGCACAAAAGTTTTTAATTTTGATTAAGTCCAATTTACCTATTTTTTTCTGTTGCTGCTTGTGCTTTTTGTTAAACTATTGCTTAATCCAAGGTCATGAAAATTTACATCTATGTCTTCTTTTAATATTTTAATAGTTTTCACACTTTCATTTAGATCTTTAATTAATTTTGAATGAATTTTGTATATGATATGAAGTAGGGGTCTAACTTCATTCTTTTGCATGTGGATATCCAGTTGTACCAGCACCATTTGTTGAAAAGACTATTCTTTCCCCACTGAATGGTCTTGACACCCTTGTTGGAAATCAATTGACCATAAACGTAAGGGTTTATTTTTGGACTCTCAATTCCATTCCATAATATATATGTTTATCGTTATGCTAGTACCATTCAGTCTTGGTTACTTAGCTTTGTAGTAAGTTTTGAAATACAGAAGTGTGAGTCCTCCAACTTTGTTCTTCTCCAAGATTATTTTGGCTATTTTGGGTCCCCTGAATTTTCATATGAATTGTAGGAAGAGCTTGTTAATTTCTTTAAAAAAAATAATCCAGCTGGGATTCTGATAGGGATTATGTTGAACCTGTAGATCAATTTGGGGAGTACTGACGTCTTTATAATATCAAATTTTCCAATCAATGAACACAGGATGTCTTTCCATTTGTTTAGGTTTTCTTTAATTTGTTTAGGTTTTTTTTTTTTTAACTGGGTTTTCAACTCTTTGGGCACGGACTGCTCCTTTAATGTGTAAGTCTGTTATTTAACTTTCACAATTGACTTCAGCCCATGTTTTCCAGAATGTGCCATACACAAAAGGAGTGGAATGACTGGACTATATTGCCTCAGATAGTAAGCTCCTGTGATCAGAGACAGTTCCGCTAATGGGCACATAGCAAACACTTGTTGATTGATTACAGCTCATTAAGATTAATATAACTTCTTGATGGATAACTGCCGGTGCGTTCGCTCAGTCTCTTTTTCCTACACAGTTCTGAAGAATGCATCCATATGGAGATCTTTGGCCTCCATGTAAGTCCACTGGGACTCTTTCCTGTGGTGGAATTTGCCACTACTGATATTAAATCTAAACTCATTCCATTGACATCTGACCCTCAGACGTGGGTGGAGCCATGTTGCTAACTAGAATGGGAGCTTCACATTTACCTGGAAGTTTTTAACATTCATACTCTAATTGCCAAATTACTGAAGAGGTTGTACACTTTTTAGCACAAGGTACACATACTATTCGTATATATATTTGATAAGAATTTTTTATAGTATATCTTTCCTAAGGGCTAACATGACAATATGGATTGGGGCTTTAAAGGAACTCATCTTTTGGTCTAGAAATTCCACTTCTAGAATTCCTCCTACACAAATGACCAAATGTGCCAAGATGACAGCACAAAGATGGATATTGTAGCATTTATCACAATAATGAAAAACTGGAAATAACCTCAAATTCCCAATTAGGAAAATGGTTGAAAAGACAAATTACAAAAGAAAAAATTACTTTCTATATGTTAAGGATTATATGTCACTTAATGTATTCTGAGTTTTAAAGTTTGGGAAGTTTTATACTAACAATGATTATCTTTGAGTGATGGAATTATCAGTGATTTAAAAATTTTTAGTTGCTTTATCTGAATTACCTGAATTTTCTAACTTTTTCTAAACTGATAATGTATTTCTCTCTTTTTATATATATATGTAATATTATTTTTTAGGCAATACAAGCCAGTCAACCCAGCTTAAAAAGGCTGGAGGGTACTTTTAATCATAACTGCAAAATAAGTTTTGGTAAAAATTACAAATCATTCTTTAAGACCTATTTTACAGAGAACAATGTTTCTGAGGTCTGGATGTTAGCTATGATATCCCCGTTTCAAATTCATCTAAGGGTTTTCCCATGGGCCCGCCACCTCACAAAAATTCCCCATCAAATCAAACACTATAATTGCATATGATTCTTACCAGATAGGCTCTCCAGAAGGATTGAATGAGGAGAGCTGCTTGCTCTTCTGTCAGCAGGAGGGAGAGTGGGATCGGTGGCCTCGGGCTGAAAAGCAATAATATGGTCATATGCCCATGAGAATCTGTCCTTTAGCCTTGGCATTGCCTTTGACAACATAATGGTCTCTCTGACTAAGTGCTTCATCCATCCCGGTTTTTAGACCGTAACAATGTCATTTTAGATAGAAAAGTGTATGCCTGAGTTAGCATTTCTTATTTTAAAATCTGGGGTGAATTTTTTTTTAAACCAGCATAATCTTAAATCACTGTTAGCCTGCTCTACCTTTGAAAGACTCAGGTTGCTAAATTTGTATGTTAGTCCTGAAGGGGCAACATACATGTTATTGACATAAGATTATGTGGACATAATGCAAGAGACTGAGGAATAGCAGCCTTCATACTACATTATGACTGAAACATAATAAAGGGCTCTTTCTCCAACTTTCTATCAACGGAAAATTAAGTACTGTAGTTCATCTCTTTCCCAAAAGCAAAATATTGGAATTTATCTCTGATTAGTGTGCATTCCAAATTAATGTCGTTTGAATTCAAGCATATTTTTCAGTTCTGCTACTACATCTTAATCAGAAATAAAATATCTCAAGTGCTGGGTCAGTTGATAGTGTCTGCTCTTGCGGGATTTTTCAGATTATGATGGGATTTTTGATCATGGACACCACGTTAAAAAATCAAGACTACATACTCTTTTTTTTCCTAAAAATTTAATAGAGGCACTAACTGCAGACGAGGTCTTGTAAGTCTCTCTTAGTTCTGGTTCTTTATTTTTCCCCAAAGCAAAGCACAGCTACGTCTGAAGAGCAGAGATCAAGATTTTTCAGATACAGTACCCAGACGTAAAGCCCTGCAAGGCTGTGGATCACACGGAGGCTGCTCCCAGTACAGGATCCCCAGAAATGACTTTGCAAGTGAGGGATTCCCAAGTGCCCTGGCCTCAAAGCTCTGCCTAATAACAGCTAGAGCTTGCAGTAATTCTCATTGCACAGAGAGGTTGACTAACCTGTCCAAGGTCATACAGCTTATCGGTGGCCTAGTCAGAATCTGGGCCCAGACCCATCTCATTCCAAAGCCCAAGCTACCCTTGCAATAGTATGCCCACACACCACACCTGAACTCGACAAACATTTGCAGATGCCTAGCCTGGCACAGACTGCGAAGCTAGCTGGCAACAGCGCATGACTCTCCAGGATCAGGGGTTTAATTTCCCTTTAAACTTTGTCTTAAAAAAAAGAAGAAAGAAAAAGAAAACCTTGATACAGTATATTTGTTTGAATAAATGAACGCTCTTTTGAATTATTCCAGAATCAAAGAAATCAAAGCCAGGAAGAACGCGGGGGTTATCAACACCACTTCGAGCGAGTGTGGTGCTGTTGCCAGGCTCCGGCTTTCCAGCTGGACAGGTCCTTTCTAAGAGACCAAGTAAAGGAGATTCTTCCATTTCTTTCCAGAGATAATTACACCCTCAAAATGATAGCATTGTTAACAACGTTTCCCTAATGTTCAGTTTCCATTTTTATTTGCATAATGTGGTGGGGTTTTTTTTGGTTCTGTTTTTGTTTTCACCTCTTCTTGCCTAATATCCGGTGTCCTGCGCTGTGATGGCGCCTTCATCTTTTGCTGGAGGCCGCCACTGGAGGTGCGTCGGTTCCTACTTTCAGCATTAAATGTCCTTCCTCATCCACCGTCTTTATCCTCTAACTCTCAGTTGTGCAACACCAACACATCACATCCCTGAAGTCATTTCCCTTCACTGGTTAAAAATCTACAGCTTCTAGAGAGACCTTGGCGTGCTGGCTGTGAGTTTACGAGAAGGATGCTGTAACGCGTTAACACTAGCTGGTATTTACTCAGAGCTTTCTGGATCACTCCCGGCAGCCTGGCTGCTTATGCTCCGGCCATGCTGGCCCCTGCAGCTCCTCCATGTGCGATCTCCTTCCGCATCAGGGCCTTTGCGAAGGTGTTTTCCTCTTCCTCCGGTATCCCCCTACTCCCAGCCAGGGGCACCCTACACAGCTGACAGGTTGTTCCCTGCTCAAGGGCACCCAGCAGATGGGCCAGAGGGCACCAAAACCCAGCCTGTGCTCTGCTCCCCCATGTGCCCCAGCGTAGGGACACCTTTTCCTAACTTGCTCAAATGCACCGTAGGACCGGTGGGGGCCTGACACCTCTTTCTCCTGGTTTCCTCTTATTCCTTCTGATCTCCACTTACATGTTATTGAAAAATGTCCTTTGATTAGGTCAGGGCCCAGTGACGCTCCCTGTAATATTCCTTCCTAGTCCTTGGCCCAACTTGGAGATGTAAGCCTGTGCGATTATCCAATTAATGCGCAAATCTTCTACAGGACTGAAAGCTCCACAAGGGCAGAGACCGGTCCTGTGTTCACTCCCCTTGGTAGCCCAGCACTTGGGACAATGTCTGGCACGTAGCAGGCACTCAATAAATATTCGCGGGATGAGTGGGCTCCTCTGTGCCCAGCAGTGCACTAACGGCTTTCTACACGTGATTTTGTTAAATCCTCACAACATGAATAATGAGCTATTGTCACCCTTCATTTAGAGCGGAAGAAACTGAGGCACAGATGGGTAAAAAGACTTTGTGTTCAAAGTCACTGAGCATTTCCTGCTGAGAATGCAAAACATCCAGGAAACACTGGGAGTGGCCCGAGAGGAGAAGGGGCCAGCACACAAGGTCATCAATATGAAAGTCAGGGTCTAGCAGCTGTTGACTGTTACACAGGAGAGAACACAGTCATTTGCCTCGAAGAAAAAAAATTAGGGGAGGGTAAAAAGCCATAATCATAGAAAATGCCCTCTTCATTGAGCCTTACGGTAATGACTGGGCAGATATTCACTGTCTGAACCTCCCCAGGGACATCCTACGTGAGCACAGCTAAACAAAGTGGAGTTTGTCACTTGTATCCGAGGGGAGATTTGATGGCGCCTTTCTGTTCAGCTGCAATTTTTCTGCTTTAGGTCTGTTTTTCACCACTGAAGTCACGAAATCCTCAAAGTAAGAGTATTCCTGTTTCAGAGTAGCAGGAGGGAAGGAGAACTGCAAATCTTAGCACACAAACGGGCAACCCCAACAAAGGGCTTTCACGGGAAATGCAACCCTGAACTGCTCTGCATCACAATGACATCTCCAACAAGCAAAATGAGATTTCTCATAGGCCTTTAAGCAGTAATACGAGGCCACCTTTAGTGACATCCCTGCTTTCATAGCTAAATAATGGAGTGCTGTCTAGTTCCCAAACCAAGAATAAGTATGAGAAAGCTAGTGTAGATCAGGCCAAATGAAAAGGACTTACTCTTCGGAGAGTAGTCCCTGGGAATTAGCAATCATTTCAGCAGGCCAGCTTGAAGGGATAGAAGCCATGCCAGGCCCCTTTCTCTCTCTTGGAATCAGCGCAACTGGCTTCAGGTCAAACAAAAATAAAGAGGCCACTGCTCATCACCAGGGAACTGGGGAGGGGGGAGGAGATGAGCGTGTCAATCACGGAAGGCAGCTGAGGCTCCTCCAGGGCTTCAATCAGACTTCCTCAGAGCAGCCGTTTCTGCGTGTTCAAACGGGCACGCCAGAAGTGCTGAGCATGCTTCCAAGAATTGTTTTATTGGTAATGCTCATTTGTCATGTCCTCCTCCTTTTCTCCAGTGTGAATTAAATACATTTGAACTGTAAGAATCGATGCTATAATTCTGAGAAGGAACAAAAATTTATTTTTCTGGCTGTGTGTGATGCCTCACGCCTATAATTCTAGCACTCTGGGAGGCTGAGGAGGGTGGATTGCCTGAGCTCAAGAGTTCACGACCAGCTTGAGTAAGAGCAAGACTCCGTCTGTACTAAAAATAGAAAACTTAGCCGGGCATCGTGGCACACTTGTAGTCCCACCTACTCAGGAGGCTGAGGCCGGAGGATCACTTAAGCCCAGTTTGATGTTGCTGTGAGCTATGATGACGCCACTGCATTCTACCCAGGCCAACAGAGTAAGACTCTGTCTCAAAAAAAAAAGTATTTTTCTGATTGTGTCATGTATATATAAATGTATGTGCATGCATGTTTGTGCATGCACACACACACATATTCACACTTCTTTCCCCTTTTTTGGATGCTAAGTAAAGGATTTGCAGGACATAAAGAAGATATAGTGTGCTAACCAAATACATAATAAGAACATCTGAGAAGTTAGTCTTCATCAATTTCTCCATTCAGTTCTCAGACAATTAAAGAGGTGCATTATTTTTAAATAGAATAAAGGACAAAAGTTTGCTTGAGATTGGAAATTGAATTTTGGGATCCAGATTCTATCCACTTTTCATTAGCTAAGAGATTAAGTTATTTCTTGGAACATGAAAGTACGACCAGATGTAAAGCTCTTTACAAAGATGGCACAGGCCCTAAATCAATCATCATAAAGTCTTGCAATGGCCCAGTATTTGCTAATGTCCATCCAACATATTCAGCAAAAGAGACCTTACCTAGTCCTTGCTGTTCACCTTAACTGGCTTCCCAAACACTTTATGTTGGAGGCATCGCACTTTCGATTTAAGAACTTCAAATATTTGTAAGAAGTACAATAGAGGTTATCTGGAATGGTACTTTCAGACATATGGTGACTAGCACTTGGGATAGAATGTCAAAGGATTCTTTCAATTCCAGCCTTCTATGAATCGCAGGAATAGCTCCAAACACCAGTGGAGCATTGCTCCCTGGTAGCCTTAAAGCACGTTTAGAAATCATGGTTACTAAGTTATGATGTTGCTTTCTCCCCCTCACTAATCTCCACCTTGGGAGATCAACAAGCAGTTATTACCCCAGCATCAGGCTGAATTATTCTCCTAGTTAAACACAGAGCTGAGTCCTGTTTTACCAACCCCATCATTGAAGCTGCGTATGTGTCTAGATAACAGAGCTCACTAAACAGCAAACTGCAAGAGCACGTGCCCACCCTGTGGGTTTCAGGTATAACCATCTGAAAAACCAAGGCTGTGATACTTGATATTTTTGGAGAAAATATGCCCATATTGTGG